CTTCCAAATACTGCTTTGGCTCGTCCCGACCCACTTCCAGCCTGGGACCTCCCCTTCTCCACCCGCACAGCTCCCGCCTTTCAACCGCTCTTCACCTCTGTGGCATGGGCCAATGCGACCAAACTCCAGGCTCCACTTAGGAGGATTTAGTTTAAAAAGGAGTGTGTGGTAGTAAAAGCACAGGGAGCCAGGACAGACTTTCCCTTGTGTTCCTAAGCACTGTCATGAGTAGGGTTAATATTTCAGGGCAAAAACCTCTTCAAATGTAGTTCTAAAACTTTTTTTATTTTAGTTACTAAATAATGAAATACAACATTCCTGTCCAACACTTCTTGTGAAACATATATGGTCTTTATTTTATTAGTTCATCTTAACTTGTTTATTAACTGAACAATAATTACAAAAATCAAACACATTTCTTTTTTTTTTGTGACATTTTTATTTTACTTCTGTTCTCCATAGAAAATGCAATGTTGTGACTACGCCACAAAATTGGTGCCAAAGGGTGTGAGAAAATCCAAACAGTGTGTTGCCTATGTCCACACTTAGCTGGACCAGGTTATGATGTGACAACAAGGGATTCCCCCACAGTGGCAGGGGCAGATTACAGGACTAAGGGGCTGCACACACTTTCAAGGTGAAGGCAGTGCGAGCTGTCAAAATCAGCACATGACTTGGAGCCAAAAGCACTGGTTTGGGCACAGGGGGCAGGCTGTAGTGGGAAGTCAGCAGATGGAAGGACTCCACAGGGCACACAGCACAGGACAAAGGGCACTCTGGAAATCTGGACACATCTTTTATTTGAGTAAATTACTTTGGATCAGTGGCTTTATTTATTCTTTTATACAAGGAAAAAAGCAAAATATTCTTAAAAAAGAGTTCTGCGCACTTGTGTAAATTTTGCTCTTTTTTGTTTGTTTAATGAAATTTGAATGTGCTTCTATAGACTCAAAAACACATGCAAGATTTTTCAGCTATGGCCCAATTGGATCAGTTTCATGCCTCAATAAACCATGTTCTGTGTACATCCTTTATGGCAATTGCTTAGCATTCCTTACATGTCCAACACCAATAATAACACAACAAAATGCAAACAAAGTCTATATAAAGGGGTCCTGCTCCTGATTACCCGCTGCTTCCTACAAGGCACGACTCTCACCTGCCATAAATCAAGCTCTCTCCTGCCCGAGCTCTCCCTGCTGCCTCATCTCTTTGCACTTTATTTCTCCTCCAGACACAGGCGTCATTATTATACACCCAAAGATCTCCATTGGAATAGAGATGGGCCTAATGAGCACCTCTTAGCTGATCACATTAGACCTGCACTTGAGGACACTTAATTACCAGTGTTACACTCCATGTGCTTCTGTCAAGGGGACACCACCAAGTCCTTTAATTAAAGTCCTGCAGCCTACCTTCTTGTGTTTGTGCATGGTGACGTCCTTGGCATGCCAGGTACAGGAGAGATGCAGAGGCCAGACACAGGCGATAAAATATGTACTGTGAGAGAGTGGGGGTGGAAAATGCATTTATTTGTGATCCATATGTTTGAATAGGGATGTGGGTGTTTATTTATTTGATTTATCTCACCAGGCGCCTCTCGCTCGTCTGCTCTTGTCTTATTGTGTACATACAAAGAACAGCATGTATATTGTATTATGGCTGTGTGTTTGAGGTGTAAAAGGCTGTATAATGTCTGGATAGTTTTACCGTGCTCTTAAGAGGCACCCTCTGGCAATGTTGTACTGAAACACTATAGTTATATCTACCACAATTATGATGAAAATAAAGACAAAATGTACATTCAATTTAAATAAATACATATTATATTGATTATAAGGAGAAATTATGTTTTATAAGTATTATTATCATCATTGTAAACATCAAGTATTGTTGTTCCAATGTTAAAGACTATGTGTTACATTTAGGCCGGCAACAATAATTACTAAATTGGCTTATCATTCAGTATATGATCAATGGAACAATAATTTTTATGGGTCAGTATTTATCTTGAATACTTTTTTCTTTGTACCAGAGGATTTCGCCTGCAATATGATAAGGTTTGAGCAGTAGAAGCTTGAATTATGAACTAATTACTATTTACTACAGCAAAATATCAGACTTCAAAATTTGCTATCGGGGCTAGTAACTTAAATGTTTCATCATATTCTGTTATCCAGGCTTGTGACTAGCACAAAAATATAGGCTGGCCAGTTACCTTGGGCAGCTGGATTCCCATTAACAAGATGGATAGTGTCATTTACACTACAGATTCTTCTTAATACAGTCTTGTATGGAGGACAAACTACTTCATTCTTATTGTCGGTTTGTCCCAGCTAAGACAAGCTTGTGGCAGATCTCTGTATCTTCTCTCTCTTTTGCTTGTAGCATACTGGCCTGGTCTTAAAGTTTTTGTCTTGGCTCGCTCTCACTGTCAGTTTCTCGAATGGGCTGAGGGCAGCAGTCAGGAAATGCACATCAGTCATAATACTTTCCTAAAATGAAAACAGATTCGGCTGCAGACCTTCAGCTGCACACACTGACTCTCTCTCTCTCTCACTTCTTCTTCTCAAAACATTCCTGTGTTTCTCCTCACGTCCTCCGCCCTACCCTCCTCCTCCTCCTGCACTCACCACTCCAGCTTTAGCTCACCATGCAGCATGGATCCTTTTCTCCCACTTACAAGGGTCTCGTTTGCTTGCTGCCACAGATGGATGCGTGGCGGTACACGAGACAGTTGTTTTGTGGGTTGTGTGATTGCAGAGATCTCAAGTATCTGACACGGGCTTCGCAGAGCAGTAATCCACGCCCCCATAAAGTCCCACAGTATGGGCACTTAGGCTTTTTAAGGCCCGTTTTATTGATGCAGATTGCTATAACAGCCAGTAAATCAAAGCCGGGGGAAAGGGGTTAGTGCAAGCCGATATGCTGTTTAACAGGCTACAGACCAGGAGAGCTTGCCTGTAAGTCGCAAGCACCTTGGAAGAAAGAAACAAGACTAAAGGTGTACTTACAACTGCAATACAAATTTTTTTTTAGCTTTTTTTAGTCTACTATAATTGCATATATATATGGATGTCAAGACTATTTGATTAATTGATAATGATGGTTAATCCTAAGAACAAAAAAAAAAGTAATTGTGGAAAATTTTATAAGTAATTTCAGACCAATCTATTATACGAAAGAGTACACCTAAATGTAAAATCCTTTGTTATCTGTTTATGTCACTGTCATAAAGTTTGATTTCATAAAGTTAATCACATACTGGAGGAATAGTAACCTATAACAGTAATGAAAAAAAAAATTAAGGATCTATTTACAATGAATCAATCTTAACTCTTAGATTTGTGACATCCCTAAGTATAATTACTGAGGACTGAAATCATGCCCTAAATCTTGGTTATGAAATATATTTTAACATTTTAACAAGTTAAGTTCGTCTCAGAAGGAGTTTTTTTAATGTCTACATTGTGCTTTCTGATTTGAGAGATTGCCTACATATAATCAGCCTTCTCTTTGCAGTGACTCAGTAAACATATGTGTTAAACTGGATGCCCTTCCTGACACCACATTCTCAGTAAGTCCAGGTTGGGGGCAATGCATCTTAATTGTACTGTGTAAACCTTTAGACTTCACATCCTTCTAGCAATGCTTAGAGTGCAAAACTGTCTTTCTTCTTTTCTTTTCCTTGAAACAGGTCACTCCACAAGACATCAGTTTTTTTTTTAGTTTTTTTTTTTCAACTCCAGGGGTGAGCCAAGAGCCCTGCCAGTGACTAACCTCTGTGGCACTAGCCAGTCATAAATATTCTCAACAAGCCTGCTGATGGATGGTCTTGTTCAGCCTGGCTTTGAAAGGGATGTTCACAGGGCCAGCACACACACACAGCAGCCAATTCTGCCAAGTGACTGAATGAAATAAGCTCTTCCACCAGGGATTGCCCCCAAACTGCAGAACTGACAACAGCATAATCACTGTTTTCAAATGTAATGTGTCAGAGTGAGATAATTTAAGGAGTCAATGCCGGAGCGCCCCCGTTTATTTACTGCCTGTGCACACAAGCCTCACCCAGACAGTCATGAAAGGTGTTTGACATTAGAGACTCATTTCTCTCGCTATCGGCCTTTGCACTTTTGACATTTGTTTATTTAGCTACACAGTGACACATGTGCTACAGCTGCCGGCAGCTTAACAACCTGCATGCTCACCTGAAAAGCCCCCAACAGAACCCCTATGCTCCAGCACTTCTCATCCTATGCCTGGACTGCTGCATGCCTTTCCACTTGGACGGCCACTCTAGTGGGACAGTTAACTAAATGATTACGGCATGAAAACTGTACAAACACACCTCCATAGGCACAACACCATGACATCTATTGTGAAAATAACCCTTAACCTCAAATCAAAACAACAAAAAGTAGTTGCAGTGAGAAAGTGCTATTTGCAGAGTGCACCTATTACACACATGTCCCAGTCCATCAAAAATGCATGAGGCTTCTTTTCTCAGGGAAACATTATAATTTCATCAGCTTTCATGTGAGCAGAACCGTGTGAACTATGCCACTATAACCAAGTGTGCCATTTGTGAGGCAGCAAAGCACTGATGCCCTAAGATAAAAGAAATCCTTTGTTGGGCATATTTCTAGGAAGCAGCTTCTTCTTTTCAAGTTAGTTGCTTGGCAATGAGTCTGGCTCGACTTCCAGTGAAATTGTTTTATAAAGAGGAAGTGGACAATAGTCATGACATATTAGGAAAATATGGTCAGTAAGCAGAATAATTAATCATATTGATGTGTTTTTGCAAAGTTCTCTAAGTGTGTGTGCTGTGGAGGCTTAGTGGTGAATGCACAGCCTTTCCTCGGATCACTAACCCGTGTTAATGATTGCCTAATAACAACATCGCCAATTGGTTCACCTTTGTACAGTGGGCACATTTAAGTACTGCCTTATGACTTGGTCGATCAGCGCTAGTGTTGATGTATACCAGTGTAGTACCATACCAAAGAGAAGATGTTGGAGTGGCAGTCCTCAAGGCTTGCCCCGTTCGCCACCCAGTTCGCCGTCATAGTCATAATGCTCCAACGTTGGACTCGTTGGCGCTGGGCATGTCGTGATCTTACATCAGTATTATTAACCAAAGACTAGGGCTGACAAATAGGTTCCACTCAAAAGGCACGCTCGCTCTGGAGCTGCAGGATAATACACAGGGCAGAGATGGGCGTTTTCAATAAGTATTCAATCATCCAGCAGAGAAAATATTTAGATTGATCTAATCCAGGTCAGGCGATTCCAAATGTGAGCATTGTCAAATGGGCAAAGTGAGGTGTATCCATTTCAGTCCACGCAAAGGGGAGCAACACAAGCCCGTATGCGTCCCTCCGGTGATAGTTTCATCATATAATAATCCATAAGGGAAGCGACTCCAATAATATGTCTAACGAAGAGCATAAACTTCTAGCGTTAAATATTACGCGTCCACTCGTGCCGATCACAATCCTTCCGCGCCACGAGCTGATGCACCACTTGTGATAGTTTTCGAGAATTGCACGAGCTATTAATAGCTTTTCCTTCTTACCACAGCCTCCTGCTCTGTATGACAATGTCTGGCTGAACGCAAACAGGCACTGTGTGAGCAACGAGGAATGTATAATCCCTCTGTTGCTCTTGAATTAAACGGACCGCAGACCCAAAAGAGACGCCAAAGAGGGGCTCCTGGACTTAAGCGTGGTAGTAACCAAGTAGTCCCATTAGTCCTGTATACTACTGGCCAGGAGTCATGAGTCAAGCACACAAGACAAAACTATTCGGACTCGTCCAGCAGCTGCAGGAAAACTAGGCAGGCTTGTTGTATAGAAACGGAGGTAAGAAAAAAATCTTCCTTCCTTTCAGTTTGATATTACGAAACGTCCCCTCACCGCAGCGGCGCTCTAAACAACCATCTGATGTGTTAGTTTAAAAAGCCAAAGTGACAGTCCTTGTCTGGCGCCGATCACTGACATAAAGAATCCGCTGCTGCTTAAAACGCACTCAATTCCATCATAACGCACGTGTCTCATAATGTTAGGATTCTTGCCTCGAGCTTTCCGAGGTGATTGTTTCTCATTCTTTATCAGTCGCTGTTGTATTGTCAATAAGTGGATAGAGAGAGGCTGAGTGTGGCACATTCTCACCCTCTTGTGTCTGTAGGTTTCTCTCCTCCTCTCTCCCTCCCTCCTCTCTCCTCCTCCTACTCAGCGCACACGCTCGTCCAACCCACCGCGCATTGTAATGTAATGGCGGTCGGAAGCGTAACGTTGAGACTAGCCTTCCCATTTGACCAAGTTTATGTTCACGTGATCAAAGTGTGGCAATACAGTTGTGTTGTTGTCTTTGGTGCGATGCGACACATCTTTACACTCACAGCCTTTAATAATACGCGGACCTTGTCGTGCGTAAAAGCAGCATATGTAAAGTGAAATTCATAATGTGATTGAAAGCGGCACACTGTCATTTTGTTATGTCTGATTACGTAATGTAGGCTACTGTTCCACTCCAAACAGAGGATGTGGAATAGAGGTCAAAGTGAGTGTTTCGTAAAACAAACACTAGCTGAGATTATAATCGTCAACTGATTTTTACTATAGTGAGATGCATTTTTCAGTTTGTATTTTGCAGAGAAAATGAAGATAAATTAATGATTTGGGGGAAATTTGACAGTTGATTTAAAATGTAATTAGTATTGAAAGTGCACAGTTGTTCACTTTACAATTATGTAATAATGTTATTATATGATTTCATACACTATTTCCATAGGGCCTAAATGTTTATGTTATATTGGATCCTGTAGTCGTGTCAACATATATTTAATGAAATAAGTAAACATAACATTTAATAATACAATGCCATTTATATCTTAGTGAATGCTCAAGTAATCAATAATTCAGGGTTTGTTTACACATCTGATTACACACAGCCCCAGTGAGAACAGCTTGAGACCTATCACTCAGATTTTTATATGAAGATGTTAAAATTCTGTAACTTATTACATTATCTCATTACCAGATCAAACATTGGAAGCGTTCCGTGTTTTAATATGCATTATTAAAAATCAAGATGCCATCATGCCCCAGATGCTTTTGTTTACATAGGCCGTATGCAAGCACAGCTTAGAGCTTCTCAGTAGCCTTTGAGAGTAAAGAGGACCAAAAGACGATGAATATACAAGCAGGGTCCTAAAGAGGGCAACCATAGGGAGGACATCCAGGAGCGAGCGCATCAAATATTAGTGCTATTTTTAATAATTAAAAGGAGCAGCTCATTAGATTAAGCGATGATAAGAAAATATTAAAAAAAGATAAAATGTATTGCAAAATCAAATTACATTGTCAAACTTTCTTATAAATAATAAAAGTTCTATGTTTTTAAGGTTTAAAGAGATCAGAAATGAATTATGCATATCAGTATGTGCTGGTCAAATGTGGCCCTTGCTTTATTGAGAGCAGTATTTAATTTATATACTAAATAGTTTATGACCTATATATATATTTATCTTAGCTAATTTAGAGATATTAAGAGTCAAGGATCCATTGAGTGAATCACTGAGCCTTCCAAAGTAATTCATATGTTTGTTTTACCACTATAAATTTTCAGAAAATATGATCTTACACTGACACATCCAATCCATTCTGACATTATGGGCTGCCTCACAGTTTTTCTATCAATCACATGGCGCTTTCACAGCAGTTGGTGCGGTTACATATTGCCACAGAGAGCCAGCCTTTAGTCCAGTGATTCCTCTTGAATCCAAGCAGCAGAGAGGACTGTGAGATATGAATCAGATGGATGAGCGGGGGCTTAGCCTGCTGCCGATCGATCCCCCTGCTCCTGGAATGATCCTCAACTCATTTGGAGACTTTTTGTTCAATACATCCTTTAAAGGCTTTGAAAAGACTCACAAAAACACGGTTTGGCACAGTCGGCATGGAGCTGATAGGATGAGATGCTATCTGTTTGAATAAATCTATTTCAATATGCCAGGCATTTCCCTTGATCAGGCCCCCACTGACTTGATCTGTGTGCGCAGAGAAAAGATGCATTACAGCACTGATTAAAGATAATGTGTTTGTCTAGACAATCTGTTTAGACTTGCTTTAGATGGAGGGGATAGGAGCCATGTGCCAGTGTGCATTAGGCTCCTGAGCAAACGCCTGGGTGGCTCTACTCTGCATTGGTGGACATGGCCTTTTAGTTATATTTGACTGTGCAACAACATGAGAGCAACACATTGAGTTTCGGGATACAAGATATTATTATATTTACTATACAGCATAATCTAAATTTAAACATTAAACACATATTTAAATAGACATCAAGCATTCATGTGTGACTGTAAAGTGCAGCAAAACAGTCAAGTTTACCCTTTTCCCTTGCATAAACTTCTGCACAGTACAGAGAGTCCTGCTGAGATCAGGCCAATATACTATATTATCATGAAAGGCATACTGGATTCAGGTTCTTCTGGTTATTTTTGTGATTGATGATATTGCCTGGAAAGTTCCATAGTATGATGTCAAACTTGCATTTATTTAATTACAGATGTTTTATTCTGTTGAAGAACATACATTCTTTAAGAGTATGATCACCACTACACACTTGTTTGTCTCCATGTAGACATTTAATGCCATACATTTAATGCCATACTGGCAAAATAGTAATGCCCAAGACAGGCGGTGGACCCTCCTTCAGAAAAGTTATATAGTACACCTCTAAATGATGTGTACTGTCATCCCTGACCCACAGCTGATGTATGTATTAAAAGATAAGATGGTAGTTTATTCTGTGTACACTGACCATTATTTAACCCATGTGGGTGTGAATTGCTCTGTAAATCAGCATCACTTCACACATTATCATATTCTCTGGTAGTTCATAACAATAAACCTTGGTCAATATTTAATGAAATATAAATAGTTACGCTTCTTGGGCAGAAGATGAACTCAATTCACTGTGCTCAAACAATCCCAAACAGTCAGTCTTGTTAGTCAGTTGCCTGTTCCCTTAAATGTTCTGCATACAGCTAACTGTTGTGCTCATTAATGATTCAACATGAGCATATTGCGAGGGATTATGCTCTTGTGGACACTGAACCATATTTATCATTCATAGAAGGCAATGCAATGCTTAAAAGACACAACAACGCACTAGTATCTTCATTAGTGATTGATGGATCACCCAGTGCTAAGTTAACACATACCTAGCAGCAAATTCTCTCCATATAAAGCATCAGAGGAGTTTCTCATCTCTTTGGCGGCTTCGATGGCTCCCTGGCATTTCCTGGAGCGCACACAGTCTGGCTGAGAAGAATAGATGGTGTGCATTATAATGAACATGGGCTGACACCACCTCATCCATCATTCCACCAGGAAAATTATAGTAGCGCCACTGAGAGAGAGAGAGAGATAGAGATAGAGAAAGAGAGAGAGAGAGGGAGAATAAGAGGAAGAGAGAGAGGAAGAGGACTTTAAATCACGACTCCAAAGCAACAGTGTCCGTGGGTCTCCATTGTTGGGCTGTAACTGGCCGCCACAGCCCTTCTTCCTCTCCCATAAGAAACCTGTCTCCCAGTTTGTCTGGATGTCAGTGTGATGTGTAATCACTATAACTCACTAGTGATACTTTATCTGACCTTAAGTATGGCTCTGCAGTTACACTTGTTTCTGAACCACACTTACTTAGTCTTTTTTTTTTTTTATTAATTTTATGTAAATCAAGTCAATTTTTGTTGATTTGACCTCTCAATAAAGTACAATAATTTATTATGCAAACAGGGCTAAACCGATATTTTTATCTATAAGCCAGAATTAAAAACAAGAATAATCATAATAATACAGTTAGTTTAACTTACTTACTTACTAATAATACACAGCAATGGTAAGACAGTTGGGAAGAATTATTTAAGCTTTTTGTGTCTGAGGAAATATTTGTGTAAATGTATGACTTGTGGTGCCTTGTGTCCGTATGCAGTGCTTTAATGACTGGCTTTGCGTTGCACTTCACTGGTCGTGATCCTATGTCCCCTGTGAGCTCACTACATACAGTATAATTTATCCTCATACCGATGCCTCATTTTATTTGCTCTCAGCACAATTTCTGTGGTATGCCAATGGAAAATATATATATACTGTATACTGAATATCTTGATATATTGATTGATAATAACAATCCATTTGCAAAGCCTTGGTGACTTATGAAATACAAATGGGTTTATTCTTTGTTAAGACAGATATGGACAGGACAGTACAGGGCCTTGTCTGATATGTCTACCAACCCGCAGCCTCCTGGTGTCCCAAGCAATTCTCTAGTATTTATAACAGAATTACAAAACTACATGCATATCAAAGCAAAGTGACTTTTGTTTCACAGTCACAAGTTAATAAACTTTTACACTTGAAAACTGATAAAACAATGCAGGGTTTCCTGTAAGATGGGGACAGTGACTGCTGAGCCTTTACACATGTCAAAGTCTGTGCTGGGTCTCGGGCAGACTGACACATACCAAATGCATTTACACAAAGACATCTGATATGAATCTTTT